GCTGAGTGTTCAGTGTTCCAAGTCACTGCCAGGATCATTGCTGAATTGCTTTGGGGTTTTCCAGGAAGGTTGGTTCACTTCTCTGCTGGTTTTTCAAAGCCTTTCTCCAAGCAGGATAGAAGAACTTCAAGTTGAAAACAATTGTGTAGGATATACATGATTTAACCATGGGGAGAGTCAAGAACTTGCCTAATCCTGAAGCATCCCAAATGTCCATCAGCAGTGAAATAGCTGTTGGTGGCCAAAGGCTAAAGGGCCGCTGACTTGCAACTGCTCTTGCTAATTGTCTGTGCATTGAAAAGACAACTTAATTACCTGCTGAAATGCTCTCCTGGTTCAGGGAAGGAGTGACCTTCCAAAGAGAGGAGGTGCAGAAACTTGCCCTGTCTGAAACACTTCGTTAACGGTAGCTTTTCCCTGTGCGGGTGGTGAGACACTGGCCCAGGTTGCCCAGGGAGGCTGTGGCTGCCCCAACCCTGGCAGTGTTCACAGCCAGGTTGGCTGAGCCTTGAGCAACCTGCTCTGGTGGGAGGTGTCCCTGCCCAGGGCAGGGGTTGGGGCTGGATCATCTCTAAGCTCCATCCCAACCCCTTCACATCCTATGATTCTGTGATCTCCTGCCCTGAAGATCTTTTACTTGGGCATCAATACAGTGAGTGTAGTTAATAAATTTACTGAATGCAGCTACACAGAATTCCAGGTTATTGTCCCATTTGATCATTTCTGCTCTGTTCAGAAGGTTTGTTGTTTATACTTCAGCCATTAGGAAGGAATTGCTCCCTGTGAGGTGCTGAGGCACTGGCACAGGTTGCCCAGAGCAGCTGTGGCTGCTCCATCCCTGGGAGTGTTCCAGGCCAGGCTGGATGGGGCTTGGAGCAGCCTGGGCTGGTGGGAGGTGTCCCTGCCCAGGGCAGGGGGTGAAACCTTTGCCATGCAATCAACATATAAATTATATTTTACCTTAAAAGTATTTGTTCTCATCTCCTCTCTTCCCCAGGCTCTTCAGAGTAACCTCAAGTATTCCCTGTTGCCCAGAAGACTGATCATCAGCAAGAGACTGTCCCAATGTTTGCATCCAGCCCTGCCCAGTGGAGTACATTTGAAGGCATTAGAAACCTATGAAATCATCTTTAAAATCATTGGGACAAAATGGCTTGCAAAGGATTTATTCTTGTACAGGTACATTTGGTTTTTTAAAGCCTAAACTCTTCACAGTCTGTTTTAAAGAACTCATTTTATTTCTTTGTTTCATTTTCAAGCTCTGGTTTGTTTCCTCTGCTGGCAAATGCAGCAATGTCAGTGAGACCTGTTCTCCTTGGGTTGTATGAGAAATACTTCCTTCCCCTCCAAAAGTCCCTCCTGCCTGGTCTTCAGGCCTTTGTAATTGGGCTCCTGCCTGGCTTAGAAGAAGGATCAGAAATTTATGACAGGTAATATTAAGTATTAAATCAAAAACAATAGACAGTCTTTGGTATTTTTAGGGAATACTCAAGGGGTTTCTGTCAGTTTTCTGTGCAGAAGGTTGGATAAAAGGGCTGAGGGGGGTAGAAAGGTGATCGCTAGAACCATGGAGTTATCACAGTTGGAAGAGACCTTTAAGATCATCAAGTCCAACCCTGAAATGCTGAAGTAGAAAAACCATTTCCCCTTCTATTTTCATCTTGTGAGGAGATGAGACAGGGAAAAGGAGGGTTCAAAATAGCTCTACTGAGAGAAAGGAATAAAAGCTATTTCCTAAAGCTCCTCAGAACTCCTAAATAATTTACTGATCCCCCAAACCACTGCTCTGTCAATAAGGTCTATTTAGATGTTGTCACATGAGAGAGCAACTGAATTCTTCCCAGTGTTTCTATAGATGTTTGAGTGTGTTTCGGACAATGAGATTCCTCTATCATCACCTGGGCTGGTGGAAGGTGTCCCTGCCCATGGTAAAATGTTGGACTTAGATGATCTTTAAGGTCTCTTCAACCCAAACCATTCCATGATCCTATGGTCTTCACAGGAAAAGGGCAATGCTGACAGTACAAAGATGAGGAAATCAAATACATTATATCAACTGCAGTACTAATTCTGTGTCTAATTGACTTTGTTAGTTCAGTTTTGTACCATACAGAGATCAA